GTGTTTTGGGGTTTAAAAGCCACAGAGACCTGGTGTTTAGAAAAAATGTGTCTCAACTGCTCCGATACTATGAAAATATTGTTGGGCATAAACCAGTCCGTGGCGCAAAAAAGGTTGGGGACCGCTGTTATAGGTGACCAAGTTGATCATACAGACAATTGGTCTTAAAGGTGCACCCTGATTATGTATCTTCAGTAAACCATACAGACTTGGTGTAAACTCCCCTGGGTACAGCCTGTGGTATGAGGTCCGGTCAATAGCCTTGTCTTGTTCTAACCACTTCAGACAGTCTATCACCCACTTCCCGTAACCACTTCCTGGGTCTCATTTCAGGGGCTCATAAGTATTTCTGTCACTGAGCAGTGACAAAATCTTCTCATGACAGTTTTTCTGGTTTAGCAATACTGTGCACCTACCCTTGTCTGCCGGAAGGATGATAATGTTGTTGTCATCACTAAGTGATGTGAGTGCCTTCCTCTCCTCCATGGTGATGTTGGATGCTGGGAGCTTTGCATTGCTGGAGACAGGCCAAAACTTTCGTCCGTAGTTGCTCTGCTTCCATGTCTGCAATATTGTTGTTTCAAATTGCTGTTTCTGTGGCTGTGATTAGCTCCACTAGCGGGATTTGTCTTGGCGTGACAGCAAAATTCAACCCTTTAGCAAGGATGTTTTTCTCTGTTTGGGTGAGCTGTCTGTCAGACAAATTCTTGTCCACTTGTCCACATCCTCGGTGTCACATCCTTCTCTTTTCTGGCCACTGAGGACACTCTCCGTATTTTGCTGTGGTTTCCGACATACAACAAGTAGGTCAAACTTCCTTTGTTGCCTGGTCTTAGACTTTTTGTGCTGTGCTAGATGAGCCTTCTCAGTGATGTCAAACACCTTTTTAAGAGTACTCTCATCTAATCGTAAGTCTCTGTTGGATCAGCTCCTCTTGAGATTTTAGCACGTTGATGGTAAAATTTGTTTGCCTCACCCATCCATTAAGCCGCTGGTGCTGTGACCTTCTGGAGGATTTTTGTTGCCTGGAAGCCTTTAACTGAAGAGCTCATTTGCAGAATACAAGAAGGTGAGGAAAGGAAATATTTGTGTTCAATTCAAGTCCCAAACATGAAGGATTTTCTCTAGATGATATACTCCTGAGTAGGGATGGGTACCGGTGTCCGGTGCCGTTCTGACATAAACGGTAGTAACCAGACCGAAAAGCAGCGCACATTTCGGTGCTTTATTTCGGTGCTTTTTTTTCCTGAGCTGTGATACAC